GTGGCCTAGACTGACTCATCAGCAGCAGCAGCAGCAGCAGCCAGTCACTGATTAAGCTCCGCAATCAGGGAGAGGAGGGATGAAGATGACCAGCAAAGGAGACATCATCATCCAAAGGTTGGTCAAACACAGAACAAAACAGAAGAAAGAAAAGTCAATGGCATGGAAAGTGAGCACGAGGGGAAGACAGGGAATACAATATTGTAAGAGTTCCTTTCAAGTGAAGGATGAAACAAGGGAGGGATGAGCACGTGTTGGGGGACTGTGAGAGAGATCAAGAAAAAGACTCAAAGAAACAGCAGCAGCCGAGTAGAATAATCTAATTAATTGGAGTGAATTCAGAATGTGAAGTCGATAGCACATGACAAATGTGAAAGAATAGCCCGTGGCATGTTAGTTAATGACATGTAATTAATGATCATTAGCAGAAGGGATGAGGGGATGGCCGTAGCCTGTCAGAGACTTACAGACGACCTTGTAATTTTCTCATCCATGTTTGGGGTGCGGGGAAGGGGGGTTGTGTTTCACTCTATGCTTACGAAAAGCATCGTAAGGGGAACTCAAGGAGATAGCGGCGCAGATTCAAAGAGAATGAGAAGAAGTGATGGTGGCACTTATTGTTATAAGAGAAGGACGGTCAAAGAGAGAAAAGAGTGGCATGGGAGGCGAGCAATGAATCAAGGATGAGAGGAAAAAGAGAGCGGAGTGAATTTATTGCAATCCCGCTGTTTTGTTGTTCTGTTTTTTTCTGCTGACACAGTGAACATGGAGGGAACAGGCAGCGTTTTTTTTATAGGTCACATGCCACTTCACAATGATCTATGGATGCAGGCCCTTTGCAGACTTATACTGTTGAGCACGCATTATGTGGCTCAGCCAAGCATGGCCATTTGGGGGAGAGAGGAAGCACCCCCCCTCCATACTCAGTCTTTCTTTCCATCTATCCTCTCTACTGCGTTCTCGCAACCTCTGTAAATTCTTTTTTCTTCTCTATTTCTCCCTGTTTGCATCTCTCCCACTATGACTGAAAGCCTCTTAAAGATGGTGTAAGGCATCAAAGGTCTGACGGGAGCAAGCGTTTTTATATGGTCCTAAGCAGGAATGTGTCCTGTAAACGTACTTGTGTCCTTGCACACGTTCGTACTTAATGTGATGATTTCATTATTCACCATTCCAGGACACTGCAATATAAGGTTGCATTGTTGAATGAAATGTAAAGAAAGACACTTTAGCATCCAGTTTATATTTTGCTTTAGCATTGCTAAGGATCAACATTGAAAGTAACTGGACACAGCTAGTTTAATTTCCATAATAGTGTCGTTTAAAACATCAATTTCACAATCGTATTCAAAAGTTATTAAACATTTCTGATTGCATTAAATCGTTCGCAAGGTTGCTGGAAAACAATGGACGCCTATAGTAACGAGAGGGTATTGTGGTTATGGCTGCATATGTTCCAGTAGAGACAGTGGTTAGGTCTATCCACACTGGGTCTGAATGTGTCTCATCCATATCAAAATTGTGTGTGTCTCTGTGTGCGTACACGTTGGCCCATACAGCCAGACGAGTCTAATGAGCCTGGGGGCTGTTCATCCTCTCCCTAATTGGAGGAAAAACACATCATGTTCGAAATACGATAGCATTTGAAAGACTCGAAAAAAAAAAAAAAAAGCCTAAAAGAAAGCGAAAAACAGGGAGCACAGTGTGAGAGAGAGGAAGATACTGAACGATGAAGAGGGTAAGATAAAGGGGCATGCCCTTAATACAAGGCTCCTTCTCTTCCAAGTTCTCTCTAGCAGCCAACATAGTGACATGTAGCCCACTATTTAAAAAAAAAAAACTAATGGTCTGTATTTTGTCCATGTCTTTTTTTTTAACTAGAGTTTAAGAGAAAGTGGTAGTTTTGGTCACAGTGGCTTGTTTATAATGCTCTGTTGACTATGAAGGACTAGAATAGGTTTTTCAAAGCTTTTCCTGCTGCATGTGGGCATTGACCACTGCAACGTATAATAAGCAAGATCGTCCTTCAAAAACCTGCAAGATGAGAAAATGCCTCTAGTAACAAAAGTGGCAATCAATATGTGGAACTTTTCAATGCAGCCTTCAGTCCGAATAACACGGATCTCTACTAAGTCTTTAACATTCTTTCCAGGAGAAAATAAGAAACAGGGCAAGCTTGTGTAAGAAATGTGTAAGAGTTGTAATGGAGTGAGTAAGCCATTTTTGATATTTATGTGGTTCCGTGACTCCTCAATTAGAGTGTCTTCTGAGTGCAGGAATCCAAAAAGCAGTCTGCCATCCACAATTCCCAAAGCAACCTTGTTTGGTATGTTTAAAATTGTGTGTCTGCTTGTGTGTGTGTGTGTCTGCATACTTTGTTAGCTCTCTACTGTACACCCGAGGGACATACAGATGTGAACGATGAGTTTAAACTACATTTCTGATGATATCGGTGGCACAGTGCTCCCAGTCATGCATCATTTAAAGCAGCGAAGGAATTAATCTAAAAGTAATAACCAACGATTCATAAAAATCAGCCATGGGATATGAGAAAGACAGCCATCCATCACAGGCACACACGTGAGGTGGAAGACGTTATGTTTGCTCACAAACCTTTAGGTTAAAGAGTACATATTAGGCACATTTACAGGTTTATAATTGTATTTTGTCGTTTACTAGAATATGTTTATCTGCTTCAATGTTCAAAAAACACATCATGTTCCCATTTTCTTCTCACCCTGTCTCTAAAACGCTTTGTTTTAGGTCCTGACTCTATGAGGTCTGCTCTAATTGGTCAGCTGGTTTGACAAAAGCAAGGCAAGGTTGGATCTCTTGCATGGATGTACCCCGAGCAGAAGCAGCTCTAGTCAGGAAAAAAAAGTTAGACTGCGTGGAAGCTGCTAATTCTTTGTTGAGAGTGTGCCAAACTAGCTGCAAGGCAGGTGTTATGCAAATGTGCTACATGGTGAAAAAAAAAAAGTAATAGAAGAAAAGCCTGGCCTTTAAACAAGGTGTTCCAGGCAGGTAAGGAACAGTGTTTTTCAGTGTTGGTGTAGCTTTGTGAGTTTGCAGACTTTTTATATCTACAAAAAAGTTACATTACACACGAATGGAAAGGGGAAAAAATCCAAAAGTAAAGCAAATAATAAGGTCTCTTTAACAGAAAGCACATTCACATTTTGAAAACGATAGAAACTATATATGGCCCATATTTACAGCTACTAATTTACTAATGGTAAAATGATAGGTCTTTGACATCTGATTTATCTGTATGGTATGTGTACCTGGATTTAAATATGGCTATTTATGGCTGTAGTGTCAACTTCACTCTGTCTGATCTAGGTTGTAGTAAATAAAAATAAGTATGCCATAAAACAATCTATGTAGTGCCATTACTCTACTTTATCAAAAATCTCTCTGTCTTGAAAAGCCACCATGTCCATTTCTGCAGTAGCCAAACTTACAAGTGCGATGGCAGATGTGGGTGTATGTGTGTCAGAACTCATCTATCTCCTGCAGAGTCCACCGTCACTTGTTCAGCGGGGTCTAATTTATGCGCTGGCGGTGGCGCATGCTGAAATGGCATCATTCCTCAGCGCTAACCCCTGTGTGCTCCCTCACACTTCCTTTCCCTGCTGACAGCTCCACCCCAGGCATGATTTATCAGGCCCTCAAGCAGCAGACAAAGGCGCCCTGGCACGTGTGCCGTGCCAGAGACGGATTAATAGATAAACACAGTGATTCCGGAACCAAACACAGGAGAGGGTCAACTTCATAATGTCTCCACGTAGTGCATGACAAAGGTCAAAACAATATGGTCAGTGCAGCATGAGGATAAAATTTATGTTCCTGAAATATGACCATAACCAAGTCATGGAATTCTTAGAGGTATTTCTAGCTGAATAAATTCTCATTTATAGCTTTTGGCAATAATGATGAGTGGACTGAGTAAAGAAGATAAAATGCTAATATAATAATATTTATCATATTTCCTAAAATGTACAGTTTCTGTAGTTATCTACAAATTAGAGAAAATATACCAAAGAATGCAAATTTCCACTTAAAATAATACATCTTTGACTGATTTACACACCAAAAAACAGAAGTGTTGGGTGCAGTCTTATCTTAAACTTTGCAAACATTTTTATTTAACCAAGCTTGCTATGTAGAAGAAAAAGAACAAATGCACTCTGATCAAGGTAATTTTCTATTTCTTCAGGTTCGCAGCTTTTATTAATGGTGTAATGTGAGATCAACAGACAAAAATGCATGAAACAGCTTTGGCTGCTTGTGAAGGAGGTCTAAACATGTAACACCCAATTTAACCTTGTTTTTTATGTGCACAAAGTGAGAAATCAAATGAACTGAATCACTGAATTTGTAATGCTGTTATGGAGAATGGAATTATGGTAATTTGGCTGAGCATTCAGCTACATTGTTTAAAGGGTGAGCGGATTAAAAGAGGCAGTGGATGGTTAACATCTCATCGTAATGGGATGGAGCATGAACCCACCCAAGAACACAGTGTTAGTGAAGCCCTCCTGCAGAGCATCCGAGCTCATTATAGTAACATGGGAGAGTGCTGTCAAAACTCATTCTCCTCAGTATAGACTCACCTGTAATGTCCTTCAATCACAAATTATCGAAACAACAAGAAATCATCAGTGACTTATTTTACTTAATGCAGTTTTATGTGCTATTCCTAAATGAGTGGTTTGATCAGTTCTTCTCCTGACAGAAATGTGCAGCACCTGCTGTTCTGGAAAGGGATACAACACTGAATGTCATAGTACATAATGCAGTATGCAGACTGTACATGTGCAGGCACAGTATGTGTGGAATAATTAAGATCTACCAACACAGTCCTGTTATTCCGCACTGCAGTATCCGCATTTGGACTGTTTGGTGTTCTTCAGAGCTTGACTTGCTTTTGCACCTCCCCGTCATTAAATTGGTGCACCTACAAAGTCACAAACCATGTGTGCTTTAACAGTACTCACCGCACTGCTGCAGGGAATATCTTTGACTTTGAGCCAAGCCAGGTCCAGCGTGCCCTCTCCCTTGTAGCAGGACTGCAGCCTTTCCTTGATTTTCTCGTTGATCTTTCGCAGAGAGAAAACACACAGTGCAGAGTCCTGGGAGGCCTGCCGAGGACGTCTCTTTTGGCCTTTTGAGAAGACAGCAAACAGCACATCGTCATCTGGTGCCACATCTAGTGAGCGGGCCAGGATAGCACCAGCTTTTGACAGGTAGGCCGCCTCAAGTAATCGATACTCCACATTGCCACTAATGCATCCAATAGGCACCTCCACATAGGAGTTGAATGCAGTGTCTGCTTTGCAGAGGCGGACTATCTTGGAAGTGTAGACCTGTTCCCGACCAGCAGAGGAGGATCCAGTGGTTGGTCCACCTCCCATTTCAGGCTGTAAAGTCAGAAAATAGACAAAGTTCCCACTGGCAAAGCCATAAATGTAGTATATGTCAAAGTCTGGGATTACAGTGAAAGTATCAGAGGGGATCTTAATCATTGAGGCCACAAACTCATCATGAAAGACATAGGCAAACATGCCATCCTCCTCTGAGTTTCTGGCCAACTTTCGGCTAGAGATGGTAGGGAAGTACTCTGGCTTGCCATCCACTGCTGTGGCTACAAACAGCATGTCCGGTGAGGCATTGCCATAAGAAACAATGACGCCAAACACAGAGCCACTCTCATTAACACCAGAGAGGTAGTGCTCCTTCTTGTGGAAGGGCTCTCCTAGTTTGAAGAGGTCATCAAGACGAAGGAGTTTGCAAATGCCCTGGTAGAGGCTGCCACATGCCAGCAGCCGGTTCTCCCTGTAGTCCATCAAGAGCATCTTGTTGACGTTGTTGGTGAGTGTAAGTGGCTCACTGCACGGCTGGACAATACGTGGTGGGTAGCACTTGCGGTTGTCTTCATCTGGGCCAGTCTCATGGGACACCTGGACCTCCAAGCCAGGGGACAGTTTATATATGCGATTTACAGCTCCTAAATAAACATTGCCATTGCGATAGTCCACCGCCAGATGGTTAAATGTCCACTCAGGGTTCTCAGCATGAAATGACGCATACTCCTCCTCCTGAAGCAACGCTGTGATAACTTGGGAGCCAGCACTATGAGCCTGTGGGGCTTGCACTACTGTTTGTGACGTCACAGGAAGCACCAGACTAGACAGGAAGCAGCATACAAAAACATAGGTCCGTATCCTGGTGAGGGGCGTCATGGCTGTGCTCAGGGTGGGACTGGTGAGGAGAGGGATGGCGGCACAGTCCAGTACTGTCGGCCAGTCAGGATCAAGCCTCTCTTGAGTTGGAGGACATTATGTACCTACAGAGGAAAGAGACAGAAATTAGCGAAAACCGGTAACATGAATTCAAACATCACCAACATATCCCTGCATTCAAGGAAACTGTCACCGGGTATTGACAGATCTTCATTATGTGTATCAAGATTCTATTACATGATCTACGTTCTAAATGTATCTGGCACAGATTGAAACAGAACATCTTAATGAGTAAAACAGGTGAAGAGGCCATACATTTGAGACTCCAGAGCAATCTATTATTGGAGAAGAAATGGGCTAGGCAAAAAAGAAAAGAAAAGAAATGAGGCTGAGGTACAGTAGCTCTTTAAAAAGGCAGAAATGGCTCCAGCCAGTAGAATCACTCGCTAAGGAAGGCGACAGAAGAGGCGGAGTAATGCATTGTCTCAGAGGAGGTGATCAGCATGGCTCTGCACCATCTCTCTGCATGGACCCCTGCCCCTCTCCACCCCTTCTTGTCTTTCTTCTCCAGCCACTATGCACTTAATTGATTCTCCCCTTGGAGTAGCAATTTGCATGCTTTGGCAATTTCTCTCTTTTTTCCCAATAGGGCAGCTCACCTGCTGACACTGCTAGGAGAGAGAAAAGGACCTTCTTTCTCTCTTTAACATACTTACATAGACATGCATGCACACGTACCATAAAGGAGGTGTATAGGCAAAAGAGGAACGATTAGGGAGGAAATGCAAGTGGTTGCGGAAATAAGCTTCTCTATGGTCCTTGGGTCATTTTGCATGGTCTCAGCATTATATACACACTACCTGAATTGAAATTACTAATGAAAATTTTGCATGTAGTGGTTAGAACTGTTATGCACACTGTCAAAGCACCCAGCACACAGTTTAAGGCACACCCCTGCACTGATTATAAAGTACAAATTGCAGCATTTCCTGTAAACGTGGTGTTCTCCTGTGTGAGTTGTCTGCTCATTATGCCTCTCCAGTGGCAAGCTGGGTATTTATGTAAAGGTGTTCACCTGGGTAGCATCCAGGCAACACAGTCATGCACAACAAAAAAAGGAAGTGCAATAATCCAAGTCATGACTTGTACTGGAACGCTCAATATTATTCTGCTGCTATAAACCTACATCATGCAGAAAACAAAATGTTGTTATTGGAAGCGAAAATACAACAATCAGCTTTTTGTTACATATATGAATTTGTCCTTCAGGAAAAGGTCACAAAAACAAAATAAACATTAAATTTTAAAAAAAGAAAGTTGAACAAACATCTAACTTCCATGTCACTGCTGTTATGATATTGGTAAGAAAAGCAATAGATCCCTTTTGTCAGATGCCTATCAGAACTATGGCCCACTTGACCTCAAATTCTAAAGGACACAGGATAATGTTATCACTCTTTGTCATAGCTACCCTTACCCTGAACCAGAGAATCAGTATTTGCATTAAAGCAGCTGACAAATGTGTTTTTGCATACTGTAACATAACTGAAACACACAGACAGTAACAAGGTAAGTCTGTAAGAGACTCTTAAGACGTTTTCTCACTTATCCATGGCCATTAAAAGATGATGCATGTCATAATGTTATGCTTCCATAACAGCAACAGTGCAGAAATTATGCTTTAGATGAGGCAATCCGTCATTTCCAGTTTGAAGTGCTTACTGAGCACCACATTGCTGGGTGTCTGTACACGAACTACTTTAGATGATCGTGGGAGAGTTTTTTTTTCAGCAGCAGCTTGTTCTCCGGGGAACCCATGCTCTGACCAGGTGCAGCCAGCTTTGCCTGACATGGTTGCTGTAATCGGTGATGTCATTACATCGCCACATTCCTACCATCATCACAGACAGCTGTTTAATGTTTTCTTTTTATGTTTCTCAAGAACCACTCTTTCAAACAATTTCACACTCGACACCGCACTTCCACGGGTCCCCAGCAATGCACGAGTCAAGTTTGAAGTAGATCAGACAGACGGCTGTCGAAATATGCAAAGAAAACACACTCGCACGCACTCAAATATAGAGATTCCTGGATTTATGAGGGAGAGTTGTAGCAAAATGTAAAAATAGCACAAGTAATACCACCATCTTTTCTTATCAATTTCACTTTACAACTGTGTGCTGCTGTGAAAGAGGTACAGGGTGAAGACAGGAAAAACTTTGAAGTGTCATTCATAGTAAAGTTACGCGAGTGCTTGTCTGCCACACTTAATGGAAATCTACTTCGATGAAATAGACAGTTTTACTGAACAACGTCATGGTTGTGCTTGTAGCAAAAATATTTTTTATATAATAATATTAATACAATAACAGTTTTTGTATTATTATGGACATGGCACAGCCAGAAAACATTCTTGTCATAGCTGACAAATGGCAATGACTTTTCCATCATTCTGGTTGGAGTAGTATTCCAAACATGATTTTGCAGACTCTAAAAATATCAATGTTTTTTTAAGCAGCCTGTAACTATATGATCACTATGAAAACTTGCAAGTATAAATGTTGGTGTCACCTGACATTATCCATCTACAGATTTCATCTCAGGTTCACATTCAAGCAATCACAAGTTATAGTGGTGTCAAATGCAACCTCACTGTAATCTTACCAATCTCCCCTCTATCTCCTGGTAAGCAGGGAGAGAGGGAGAACAGAGCGGACAGCCTCTCATCGCATGATAAGAGGACCAGAGAGGACGATGAGAGGGATAAAAACTGATACAAAGATAGGTGACGTGTTCAGATATGTGTGCAAAGAGCAATCATCACCATAGCTGTGACAAACTCTTATGGCAGGAGGGTGAAGCGACTGAGGCAGTCTTACAATGCCCTAAAATAACCCTGGAATAAATACAAATAGGGATTTACATGAGAGACGTAGAGTGAGAATCTAAAAGTTTATTAATAATAATAATAATAATAACTTTCATAATTCTCAAAATGGTATTTTCTGCAGTTTAAGTGTTCATTATTGTGTCCACCCACTAAAAAGACAGTGTGCATATAAGAAAGACTCCATAAGACTGAGTAAGAAAGAGGTTAAGACAAAGGAGCTGGTAGAAGCTGCTGCTATTTGAGGAGTGATGACAGGGCAGTGAGCCCATAATGTTCCTCTAAAAATAAAAGGGAAGCTGCATATTAATCTCACACAGGGAACAGCACTGGAGCTCCCACCTCTCATTTACCTAGCATGGGGGACAGCCTTAACAAAGTGTTTCTCTGAAATTCCCAGACAACTTTATTCAGCAGTTATAAATATATATAAGAAAAAAAAAGACTAGGAGGAAAGAGGTAAGTCGAAAGGTGACTAGGAGGGAAAAGAGTGTGAGACAAAGCGAGAGACAGACGGAGAGGCTGTTTTATCACCTTCACATCCACCTGTCGTCATGAGTATGAACACTGGTGCATTCATACACAGCTGACATCCAGAAACAACAACATTAAAAAAAAAAAGCTAGCAAAGAGAAGTAGATTTCCTTGAGATATAAATCAAAGTTTTGCAAACATAAAACCGTAAATGGAGGAAAAAAAACAACATCTTCATCAGTGGTACCCTGCAATGGCAGTGTGTCTGCCACACGAATCTGTTGCTGAAATGCAATTATGCTCACTGACGGGGGGGCGAGCTCGTTTACTTGGTGTTTGCCTTTGCCTGCTGATCATCAAGCTCCATTAATTAAAGCTTGCTTTGGTTCTGAGGATTTATACATCAGACACACACACGTACACACAAAGTGGGACTGATATTCTGAGTCGCAGTTTATCTTTATCTAGTTATGTGCCATTACTGCCCGACTTTTCCCTCGCCTGCTCGATATGAATATTAAAGTCAGGTGCAATACTGGTTGCGAAAAGAATAGAAAGTAATGATGTTTAAATTACTGCATGACAGTAAAATAACTTCTCATCCGCATTATAAAAATAATCAATCATGCTGGCTTTGCTAGCACAAATGTGTTACATCCATACACAAGCCAGCAACTGCAGCAGACACAGTGCAAAAGGTAGAGAAGGACGTAGTAGTTATGTGACCTGAGTGTGAAGCTGCATGCTCCAGGCTAGCTGTCAGCTGCAGCTACACTTACACTACAAATATAAGTAAAATAACACACACAGTATCACACGTTCACAGCCCCGTAGACATCAAAGAGCGCTAATGAATTCATGATTAGCACCACAACACACACTTCCAGTATCGCTGGAAATGTGAGCAAAAACAACACCACATGTGTGCGCCTGTGTTTGTGTGCATTATCTCCATCTGTGAGGCTCAAAATTGAGCTCAGTCTTTAGAAAATAATTAGGGTGTTTCTATTTTCCCCCACTTTGTTTTTTGTGTTCTTTAAAGCTGTCTGAAGCCAGCCAGGAGGAATCACGTGAAAACCGTGAAACCACATCCTAAAAGGAAGACAAATGTCATTTACATTTAAGTATGTGTGGCTTTTTGAATGGATCGTGTTATCTTGTTTTCAGGGCAGACAGTCTAATAGGGAAAGGAGTAGAGAGAGCATAGGAGAGCAGCGATGAGGAGAAGCTGATTCGTTTCTCAAGATATGTTCTTAAGGTGAGATAAAATTACTTCGCAAGACTATGCAGTGTTGGCTATACAGGCAAATAGAAAATAAATGATCATCTGGTTTCGGAGTCAGAAATATAACTCAAAACCTCAGACATAACACAAACAACCACTTAAGCTAAAAGATTAACGAGTCCAAAATGCCCTGTTTCATGGGAAGCATTTTGATGCTACAAAGCTAATTTCAGGGATAACAATATTACGCAAAGCTATTATGGAGATGACAGGAGCCATTTTGCTTTGGTGATGATTATGGATTGCAATGGAAAGCCCAGAGCAGACATGACAATTGGAGAAGACAACAAAAAGCAAGTCTCAACACAATAATCTCCTACTATTTATGGTGTGACAGATGAGGAATTTCTGTTGAAGAAATGACTTGAAAATGTCGAACTCTTTGGTAAACAGCTTAACTTCTCACAGTGTACAAATGTTCAAATATAACTATCACATTCTTAGAAACACTATGGGTC